GGAATACTTACTGACATCACATGAGGCTGCTGTGCAGGCCGGAAACAAGGTGAGTAATATTTATTTAGATGAATTTTTACAGGCCAACGTGGGGCAGACAGTGTGTCTATTGCAAGAAGGAATCCTGTAGTCTTGAAATAACGATTATTATTTTGGGGTTATAGGTTTCCTTTGAATGTTTAGGGATGATCTGTAGTAAAGAATACTTAATTAAGCAAGATTTCTACACTTTATTTTAAAATATCTTAGTTGCATAAAAAAACAAAACACTACAACAACAATTGCAAATGAGATGATAATGAGCCAGCTACTAACACCGAATATGTGGTGGCTGTTGTCCTGTGTGTATGTATTAACATTTTTATTTCAATATGCAAGTGTCAGACCCTATATACAATGGGAATTAAAATATGAATTTACACACTGATTGATTTAATCACTGAACTATTATTAACTACATGAATGAAGCAGGGAGATACCTGATTAGGTCATACTATGCTAATTACAAAGAAAGAAAGACTTTTATAATCTCAAAAAGTAAACAATGGTCAGGCAGCCTTGATTAACCTAAAATTAAGATCTGCTGGCAGGAGACTTTACACATTTACCATCTTTTCTGGACACGCATAATGTATTCCTTTGAATTTTACATACACAGGGCAGCACTTTTCATGCACTGTCCATCTGTTCGGACAGGTGATATGTGCTCATAAAAACATGGAGCATCTGGCAAGCACAGCTGACAATGACAACGTGTGACCTCCAAAGATTTCTTGGGGTTGCAGTGTAGCGGAGCGGCAATATTAAATCCCACGATCTCCGCTGGTAAAGAGGGTAATCCACAGTCAAGCGCTGAAAAGTAAGGCAAGATCCCAAATCCCCCAGTAACTGGACGAAACACAGTTCTGGGAGTCAACTGAGGTTTTTATTCACATGCGCCAGTATTTATGCAAGTCCCCATGCAAGGGGTTTCCTTACTGACATGGCAGGGGTTGTACAGGAGTGGACTACATGGGGAACTTAACATTCAGACCTTTTCTCCCATCAGGCACTGCTGGACGAGAGGGATACTCCCACTGGAATGTACCGTTAAGTGGATTATCCCTCCGTGCAGCAGAACCGGCATTTCACATTCAAATGTATAACTTTTACAATACTTAGGTGATTTAAACGAATGGACGTTCGGTAGATAGCTGGGGTCTGAGTGCACCTTTCGTGAGAATACCGCTCAGATCCCAGCTAAAACAACCGAACGCCGCACGAAATACACTTTGCCCATGAGTTCGTCTTAAACTACCGAACACCGATGGGGAACTGTAATAGGGGAATACCGGAGCTCCCAAACGGCCTGGAAGTCCAGCGAGGTTTGCGCCGTCGAGTAGCCGATTTCAGCTCCACGCGCTCGACGACCAAACCCCGCTGGTGAGACAAAGGATCCAAGATGGCCGACCGCCGCGTGGTCGGTAGCCGAACGACGGTCACCTAGGAAAGCCTCTAATTACCAATTGCAACACTGTTGCAATCGGTTAATGAGCGCCACATGTCCCTATGTGTGTGGGCTATTAGGGGGTAGCTCATTCGGTTCATGAACAGCCGTTAAGGTTGCTGTTCTTGAAACAAAACACCTGAATGCTAGCGGCTTTCGGCTGCTAGCATACGAATTCAATGCAAACATACATTAACACACAGTGTACATCCAGGTTATACAAGACATTACAGGGATTAATACAGGCAACCTTTTTATGCACATAGTTCCGAATATTACAAGTGGCTAGGTTTGCCACATGCAGTATACTATATTCTGGTGGTCGCTATTTGACTATCCCTGTTATATAGAAAGAACGGAAAGTTTAGCAACGTTAAGACAGTAAAATTGTATTGTTTTTTTTATAGTGTGTGAAAGGATCTTATACCTCCCAAGTATCCCTATATAGGAGGGACCGTCCCTATTTTTGGCCCAAATCCCTCTGTCCCACATTTCTGTCTTAATGTCCCCCTTTTCTTGGAACTTAAATAATACTGTAATGTGTCTGAGTGTATAACAGAGCTCCACAGCAATAACACTCCCAGTAATGTGTCTGAGTGTATAACAGAGCTCCACAGCAACAATACTCCCAGTAATGTGTCTGAGTGTATAACAGAGCTCCACAGCAATAATACTCCCAGTAATGTGTCTGAGTGTATAACAGAGCTCCACAGCAATAATACTCCCAGTAATGTGTCTGAGTGTATAACAGAGCTCCACAGCAATAATACTCCCAGTAATGTGTCTGAGTGTATAACAGAGCTCCACAGCAATAATACTTCCAGTAATGTGTCTGAGTGTATAACAGAGCTCCACAGCAATAATACCCCCAGTAATGTGTCTGAGTGTATAACAGAGCTCCACAGCAATAATACTCCCAGTAATGTGTCTGAGTGTATAACAGAGCTCCACAGCAATAATACTCCCAGTAATGTGTCTGAGTGTATAAGTAATGTGTCTGAGTGTATAACAGAGCTCCACAGCAATAATACTCCCAGTAATGTGTCTGAGTGTATACCAGAGCCCCACAGCAATAATACTCCCAGTAATGTGTCTGAGTGTATAACAGAGCTCCACAGCAATAATACTCCCAGTAATGTGTCTGAGTGTATAACAGAGCTACACAGCAATAATACTCCCAGTAATGTGTCTGAGTGTATAACAGAGCTACACAGCAATAATACTCCCAGTAATGTGTCTGAGTGTATAACAGAGCTCCACAGCAATAATACTCCCAGTAATTAGTGATGAGAGCGAACGGTTGCGACATCTTATTCTAATACCAAACCTTACCTGTTAACCCAATCCTAACCCAAACAGTACAAAAAAACCCCCACAGTTTAGGCACCATAATTATAATTAATAAATAAAGAAATTTGTGACTTTACAAAGTGTATACACCAAATTTACTAGTTATAATTTTTTTCACTATAATAAACCTGCTTAAACGCCTGTGTGTTTTCTCCTAATATGACACTATGACAAGAAAAAGAAAGAAAGATTGTTTCACAATTTCAGTGAGTTTGTTTTGCCATGACCGGCTGTGTAAAAGAAAAGATTGCTCACATCATTTTATTTTTGTTGACCCTCACAATAGAAATGAGCAGTTTGTCGCATCTGGTGAACTGTTTCATAGTATCACACTATTGCTGCCTTTTTATCTGCCGTAAGTTAAATCCCAACAGGTACAAGAAAAGAGGGAAGGTTGCATGTAACAGGCACCAAGGAACATACAGATAGCGTTAACGTGCATGCGCTTTCTGGCATCGCATAGGAGAAATTGGCCTATAGTGTCCCTTTAAGAGTATATATGCCCCCTTTTTAGTCAGTACTGTGCTTTGTACATTCTGTTATCCTGACCTCGGCTGGTCCTGTACTGCTCTGCGTTCAGTCCGGCTAATCTAAGGCCCAGTAATAAACCTTCTCCGTTTAGTAAATCATATTTGTTTACTTAAGTTCTGCGTGTTGGGTCATCCCGTAGCCTGTGATCGGTGGAATGGGTTATTCAACGGACTGTCAATCAGTACAAGATAATTCTTTTCAAATAATTTTTAATAAAGTTTTAAAATTTTGTATAACAAGTAATAATAATACAAACATTGTATTAGGGGTAGGAAAGGAAAGGGAACTTGGAAATGGGAAGGGGTATCCATCCATCATTGAAATAAGCATAACAATGTATATGGCAAAAATGTTGTATTTCAATGCACTTTAAAAATTAGAAAAAAACACACACACATGCACAGAGTAATACACACTGTGACTGTCTGTCTAGACCTGGACATATATCTACATCAATGCACTTTAACAATAAATATATCAAAGACCATAAACTGTTTTGATTTTTTCTTCCCATTTATCCCAATTATATTTTAGTATTGGGAAACCATGCATATTGGCTCTATGCGATAATTCGTGTGCCTTGTTTTCTAGAATCAAATTAAAAACTTCTCTGAGAGATGGCACATTTTGGGACTTCCAATGTCTAGGTAAACAGCATGTAGCAGCGATCAGAATGTGGCCTATGATTATTTTATCTGATCTATTAACGGACTACGGGAGAGTACAAGATAATTCTGAAAGAAACATTGTTGGGATAATTATGAACATTCACTAAATTTACTACTATACCTGTGGACCTCAAAATCACAACACACAAACAATTAGTGTAAACAAAACCTACGAATGGGCAGATTCCCAGGTTATCATGGTAAATTGGCAGATTTCCAAGATCTCAGAGTGAATGGGCAGATTCTTACATTGAATAGGCAAATTCCCAGGGTCTGAAGGTGAATGGGCAGATTCCCAGGATCTCGGTATGAATGGGCAGATTCTTACATTGAATAGGCAGATTCCCAGGGTCTGAAGGTGAATGGGCAGATTCCCAGGATCTCGGTGTGAATGGGTGGATTCCCAGGGTCTGAGAATGAAGGGGTAGATTCCTATGTTCATAGTTACATTAGTACTTTACACACCTACATTCTAAAATGTAATCCTCTTGTAAATGCTGCTGTAAAACATCTGTTGAAGGTGAAAATAAAATATGGCAATTACTAAAGAATTAGTATGAGTACCACAACAACTTTGCATGCTATAGTGGCTAATAACCAGACTGGCCATCGGGCAAATTGGGCAAATGCCGGTGGGCTGTGATGGCCATTGGCCAAGGCCGGCAGGGAAGATCACAGGATGTCCCCTGCCAGCCCCTGCAGGGCCACCGCTTTCCGAGATCAAAGATTTCCCTCACCGTCCCACAGGCACTTTACTGGGCAGCCGGGAGGAGAGAGAGACCCAGGAGCTCTATCTAGCTGCTCCTCCAGGTCCCTTCTCTCACGAGGTCGGAGCGTTGCCATGGTTACCGTGGCAACACTCCGGATCTCGCGAGAGTAAACTCACTACCGGACCACCAGGGCTCCTCCACCGAACCACTAGGGCTGCAATCTCCCCCCTCCCTGGGCAAAGGTAAGAAGGGAGGGGGGAATATAAGTAAAAAAAGAAATTAAAATGCACATAAGTAGCCATGTATTTAAATACATGGTTTATTTATTTAAAAAATATAAAGAAATTAATATATATTTGCCTATATCTGCACACACTGACCCACAGACACACACAGTGCACCCTTCACACACATGCTGCACCACACACACCGCAGCACAGACACACACAGTGCACCCTTCACACACATGCTGCACCACACACACACCACAGCACAGACACACACATTGCACCACACACACACACCACACCACAGACACACACAGTGCACCACAGACACACACAGTGCACCATTCACACACACACTACACCTCTCTCTCTCTCACACACACACACACACACACTGGACCACACACAAATACAGTGCATCCTTCACACACACACTGCCCCCTCACACACACTACACCCCACACACACTGCACCATCACACATACTGCACCTCACACACACTACACTGATCACACACACACACACTGCACCACACGCACACACAGTGCATCCTTCACACGCACTGCACCCCTCACACACACACACTGCACCACACACAAATACAGTAGTGCATCCTTCACACACACTGCACCCCTCACACAGTGCTCACCACACACACAGTCCCACAAGCAGGCTACAAACACA